GGATTCCCAACACTAATGATATACCCACGGCTCATGGTTGTGTAATATGCAGGACAAGATTGATTGTTATGACTCTGCATGAAGGATAACACGGCCATTACTGTCAGGTCAGGTCGCTGGAGCAAGATTGACACTTCTACCAGGTATTGTTTCGATTTGTCATGGTATTCATCTGTCTCTCTCTCTCTCTCTCTCTCTCTCTCTCTCTCTCTCTCTCTCTCTGTTTTTTTTGAGTGTATGGCTTAGTGATAGGTTTGTGGATAGGGAGCAGGTCAAGAAAAAAATCTACATTTTTGACTTTTTGCACCATATGGTTGACCAGCTCTCTGATGTGTTTATTTCCCACACAGGGAGTTTGAGTTATTGGGGACCCAACTATGTCCACAACAACAGAGTATGAAGCATACTTTGATGGTTGAAGTTGGAGGAGCTCTGCTGGGACTTGGATGATCAATGCTCACACTATCAACCACTGTTTTCTGATTCCGCAGTGAATCACTTTCAGATCTCAGTAATCTTCCCTCCCTATATCAGGAAATACACAATTTAGAAAACCACACACTATCACTGACCAATACTGGCTCTGAGATAAGCCGGGTGGTTGGCTTAGAGCCTTGTGGTTAAAGTGTTCGGTCGTCATGCCGAAGGCCCAGGTTCAATTCCCCACATGTACAATGTGTGAAGCCCATTTCTGCTGTCCTCTGCCATAATATTGCAGGAATATTGCTCAAATTGGTGTAAAAACCATACTCACTCACTCACTCACTGGTTAGAGCAGATGTGAATGAGCAAGGCGTTGTTACAATATATATAAGTGTGCTTCCTGTTTGTCACGAGGAGGGTGGGAGCACAGCTTGTTGATTCCCCTCAGAGGTACAATGTGTGGAGCCAGTTTCGTGAGTCCCTCTGCCATGATATGGCTGGAATATTGCTAAAAGCTGCGTAATAGTATACTCACTCACTCACTCACTCACTCACTCACTCACTCACTCACTCACTCACTCACTCACTGGTTAGAGCAGATGTGAATGAGCAAGACTTTGTTACAATATATATAAGTGTGCTTCCTGTTTGTCACGAGGAGGGTGGGAGCTTGTTGATTCTCTCACTCACTCACTCACTCACTCACTCACTCACACGATTAGTTTTCCAAATGGTAGCCACACACAGCAGGAACTAAGTGTAGAATTATCTGAACAGTTATATCACTGATTTTCTGAAGTGACATACATAATCTCCTTATACTGCTCTGTCCAGAAATTCACTGAGTTGTGACAGCCATTATAAAGCAGTCTCAGTGTCCGGTATACGATTGTAACCAGCTGTTCAGTGTGTCTCAGTCAGCAGGACTTGATACACATTAATATCCAGTGAACATAAGGAACGAAAGGCATCTCCAGCCCTCCTCCCTCCAATGTCTGACTGCACCATCCCTCCAATATTGCTGCAAGAAGCACTTCACATGGACTTCACCCTTGCGAAGACAGGAAGGGATCATCTCATTCCATTGGATGAATGTAAAACTAGATTTTCAACATGTCATCTAAGCTTCAGCTAGAATATTACCTTTCTGTCAGTTTCAGAGCAAATGGTTCATCACCTTTTTGTAATGAGACAGTTTCCATAGAAACACAAGAATTTATTTATGCAAGGAACTGCAATACTTCTCATTTGAGCGCTGATCACGCTGCTAGCGGAAAGGAAGGTGTTGTTTCACAGCTGGGTGTACAAGATCGTGTACAAGATGGTGTCACATCATAGGTCTCTGATATTTCTAGGCTCTCAGCCTAGCTTGCTTGCAGGCGGTCATTAGGAACTGCAATAATTGGATCAAAAAGGATACGGCGCCGTGTCTTGATTTTATTATTCATTTCTTTTCAATGTCCTAGCAAGGTTTAGAGAGTAAATGTCGCTGCTGGATGATCACAAGTGATTCAAGTGTGGGATCTGGTTTTCCAGCTCAGCAGGATGTCGTTTGGTTTTGTGTCCTTTTGGGAAGAATCAAGTCCCATTTGGTGACAGTGATGTAACACTCAGGTAGTAGACACCAATGTGTTAATACTACATGTCCACTTTTATTGCAGACTTCTCTTTGATATTGTCAATAAAATTGGGGAAAGAAGTTCTGATTTTGGTGTGATTCACATGAAGCATGAACGTTTGGTCGATCTTACATATGTTTGATTTTTTTCATCAAGGAAAGAAAGAACTGAAAACACATTCTTTAACTGCAGGTACTCTGTGTGTGTGTGTGTGCGTGCGTGTGCGTGTGCGTATGTGTGCATGCATATATATACATATACAATCCCTGGGATAGTGTAACATTGCTTTTTTATGAGATTTAACCCAAATGTAGAACGATTATGATTATGTTACTGGAGCTTCATAAAGACTTTTAGATGGTGGCTGTGATTAGTTTTTGGTAGTCCTGTGCCATGACTGTAGAATTTATATGTATATATTTTAGAATTATTTTACTTCAAGCCTAGGCAAGTCTAGATTAAACTAAACCAAGTCTAGTTTCCTTGCTTCCATGTGAAAACAGCAGCAGAGGAAAGGTTCTTTTGAAGAAAAAAAAACATAATCAAAGACATGTTTTCAATGACTAAATGTTAATCTAAGATGTTGGGTGTGTAGCATGAACCAAGGCGGGGTAGGCTGGCCTAGTGGCGGGTGTCATGTCTGTCACCAGGAGAATAGGGGCAATATGAATTACCAGTCATTATGCTGAGAGGATATTTAGTGTGTGAGTGGCTGCTACATACGTTTAGTGACATACCAGCAATATAAAGACAGGGGACGCTAGGAATGGGCTTCGCACACTAAACTTAAGTGGAATCAAACTCAGGCCTAAGGCATGACAAGTGAATGCTGTAACAACAAGGCTACCCGACAGGCCCTGAACTTATATTGAACTCCAGAATTAATGTCCAATACTGTCACATGGACTCACTGCAGCCGTGATGGAAGGATCATTTTGTGGGGATTATTTCACCAAAGTGGGCTTGTAAATCCTGCTAGATACAAGCCACCTTTCATCTTTAATTACTGCAAATAGGAGCTCTGATGAACTTTGGGACTTTGACAAGCTGCCAGCTTTATCCTCGCTGGAGCCGTTACATCTTGATACACCAACTAATGACGGAATCTGCAGCCAATTTTCGAGAATGCCTTTGTCTCCGTTTTCATTATGTCAGTGTAGATTTCTGAAGCAGGGTTGATGGTGTGTGGGGTCTTGTATGATCTGCTGGAGAGGTTTCTCACAGAGTGGAACTGACAAGTGATGCCATGCTTCTGGATCATCTGTGTCGTCTTGTTATGGTTATTAATGAATGTCTTCAGTTAGGAATAGATCGCATTATTAAAAGTTTCCGATTTGGTTATTTGGTTGTTTCAAACAAGATTAGGTAAGTGAGTGAATTTGGTTTAACATTGCTTTGAACAGTATCTCATTTATATCATGGCATGTCAGTTTGATGTTGGAGGAAAGCCTGAAGTGATGCAGGTCTCAGACGTTTACTACTTTGGTGAAACCCATGAGAGCAGGTATGGTGCTGACATTCCTCAAAACATAATCAGAGCTATTCTAGGATTCAAACTAGAGATCATAGGTTTCTACGGGGTAGTAGATGTTAGTGAGTCATCTGTATCTTGTGTATATCACTGCAGTCTGTGTAGGTGGCTGGTGTGAGCCAGAGGTTGATAACATGAACAATAATCCACATTGTGATACAAAGACAGTCAGCCTGGTCAAACATTGTAACACCCTGTCAGAGGGTCCTGATATGGGGGGGGGGGGGGGGGGGGGTGTCCCATAAGCAGTAAGTAGTAAAATGTAGAGTACTCTTTCATTAAGCAGTAATTTTTCTACTTTTTCAATAAAATCGTCGCGAAATTATTTTGGGGGGGGTCGCATATTTGTTTCACAAAAATGCCAAATGAATTTTTCAACAAATATTATAATATTATCACCAGGTTATTTTACCTTTTGTTTCATCCTGACAATTCATATTTTTAATACCGGGTAAAATCTCAAATCGCTAAACATTCTAGACTGGTCCCCTGCGTCAGTTGCGGAGCCTTCTTTCTGTGCCGAAGCATTTGGGTCTTGAAGACGGACTGTTTTTGACCATTTTTATCATTTTACAATAAGCGGTAAATTATTTATTTACGTTAAGCAGTTATTTTTGGGTATTTTCTGTTAAGCACTTAGGATAAAAAAACGATGAATTTTACGTTTACGATAGTGTTTGAAGGGTGTTTTACCCTAAGCATTAAAACCCATCAGGACCCTCCTGTCACGCATGCTCTCTTTCACTCTCTCTCTCTCACTCCCTCACTCACTCACTCACTCACTTTCTCTCACTCTCTCACTCACTCAGTCACATGTATGTTGCAGTATATAAGTGCAATAATCTTTACAGCCTCACCTCACCTCACCTCACCTCACCTCACCTCACCTCACCTCACCTCACCTCACCTCATTATCCCTGATATGATAGCAGGTGAGTATAAGGGGTAATGTTGACAGAATGGATTGTCAAGTTGACACGGAGCTCCAAATTACCAAAAATGAGAGGTCCTGTGTATTATATGCATAACATCCATGGTGTCTAATGATTCATGACTTTCGGGCTTTTTCTTCCAATTGTCTCTTTTTTATTCCTCCGAGTCAGAATGTAATCAGTCCGAGTTTTCATGCACATCAGATTTCCTGGTATGCCGGCATACGTGATGCTGCTCCAGCCCATAGCTGATGAAGCCGAGGAATCCCCCTGGGGAATCTCCCACAATAGGTCGGGCGAAAAACAGCCCTGTGTGAAGCAATCAGTGTTATAACCATGGGAAATCTGATGGCCCTGCACAGAGTTCTGGTAATGATCATAGCAGTTTATGCCTTCTCCTATTAAAAGGAATACCTCCAACCCTGTTAGGAGTTCCTTGTAATAAGCAAGTACATGCAGGATTCACACATGATGCTGACAGTGCATGGAGTAATATATGCTAAGTCAGTTCGGTGCTGATGTAAGCTAGAAGACAGAGGAATTTGGGCCTCGCTGGAGCGAGAATGGAATGACGATAATTTCTTCCTGTTCCTGAGTTTTTATAAAAGTTTGTAAGACAGGCTAGGTTGAGTCTGTACACCGGCAGCTGTCAGTGAATGTACTGACGAGGATTTGCTTAACCCCCTCTTAGCTTCTTGCCCTGCTTGGGGGGGGGATCAGGGGATTAGGTTTGTTTTGGGGGTTGGCAGGGATTAAGCTACTTGCACATGTTACCATGTACCTTGCCTGTGCCATTGTTTCTCATGGTGCTTGGAGCTAGTTGGTTGCAGGGCTCTCGGGGAAAGGGCTGTTCAGGTAACTGTAGCCAGTTTATTGAGCAAGGGGCAATTCAAGTCAACCTGATTCGCACTGTTTGTGGAAGGATTTTACTCTGCAGGTTTGTGTTGTTTTATTGCCTTTGTTTCTCTGTACAAAAGTCTAGATTGTTTATTTATGAGTAATATGGTGGTGCAACTGTAGAAGTTATTTGAAAGTTTAAACTTGAAGGTTTCCCTGTATGAAGGAGACCATCAAAACTGTTGACCTCACTGATATGATTTTATTGCTCTGTTCATGAACACAACAAATAATTACTGTGTTGAAATGAAAGTTACCTCTGTGTCTGACTTAGGTTAATATTGAGAAGTCATATTCTTTAATTATTCAGGAAGAGCAGCTTGGTGATGTGTGTCATTGGTTTTTGCATTTTGTTTTCAGTGAATTTCTTGTCCAAAATTATTCTGCAACTAATATTGAAGTAAAACATATAGTCATAGTTTGACACTTCCTTGTCTACAAGAGATGATTGACAATATGGTTAATAATTGATAAATAAACTATGTCCTTGTTGTTATCTTGGGATAGATGCACTTTTGTGATACAAAATTTTGTTGGTATTTGTGACACTGATGGTGAATTTGATTGATTGGACTTTGAGATCACCCAAGGTGTTGGGTAAATAAGGTGTAGCCGACTGTCTTAGCCATGATCCCTGAGATTTGGTGAGGGCTTCATGACTGACTGGAGTTTATTTGTAGTTATTTTATGTTGCCTTGATCTAAACATAATGATGTTAACAGTGAAGTGAGTCAGGCTCCAGGGCTCCAGGGCTCCGGAGGCAGTGAAGGCTGGGACAGCCTGTCAGTGAAACAGGACTCACAGGAAGCCTGGTAGTCTGTCCTACAGACCCTGATACAAATATATCAAATACAGCCCATGCAAGTCTATAATGTTTGGCAAGTCTAGATTACTGAAGTATCAAGGATTAAATGTAGAATTATTTGGACCACCAAGTGATCTTGGCACGATGACTATTGTTTGTCTGTCAGATGTTATTAGAGGTACAGCAGTTAAAATAAAAAGTATGATTTTGTGATGAACTTAGCTGTGATGTCTCTGGGCTCCTTTTTATTATATTTTTATTAAGATAATTTAAAAACTTTTTTTTCCGTACGATATGTTCATTTCAGAGACTAGATGTTGGTCTCGAAGATTTGTTCTGTATCGAACTGTACATTATTAATTTTGATACAGCTATTTTTTCTACATTAAAATTATAATACACTGTTTTGGTTTAGTTTTTGTAGTGTATATTCTTAAAAAAATCAATCCAGTGTTTTGCATTGTCTTATTTTTGTGATTAATGCTAAAATTTGATATAAAACGTTTATTTATCTTTTTAAAGATATCCCTGCAGTTGCAGCATATTTGTATATCGTGAACAGAGTACCATATGGATCACATCTTTACTTGGTAATTATCATTCTTTGAAATGTCAAATAGTGTTGAAGGAATTAAGTTAATTAATACTGCTCGCTCGTTAACTGCCTACATTAACAATGATCATCTTTGCTTAATTAACTTCTTTTACAAATCAGGACTAATTTGTTTGCTTGTTTGTTTATTATTATGGATTTAGCATGGGGGTTTTTCAATTGACGAAGGTTAATAGATTTTGTGTGGACTTATGTATTATCAAACAAACAGGGATCAATGGGTTGTTCTATTTTCATTTGTTAAAGTCCTGAACAGATTTTTGTCATGTTTCACATGGTTTCTCCCAGATATGAATAGATTCAGATGGCAAAGTTACTCTTGTATTCAATGTTGATAAGATATGAAATACATGTAATCTGAAAGTTGAAAAGTTTGTTTGTTGTTTGAAAGAAAGCAGATTGACCAAGGTAAAACAATTGCGAAATTAAGAGGCATCATTGAGTATTATGAAACTTTTGTAGATCAATATTTGTGACGGTCTGGAGACATTATTCTTCATTACATTGGAACACCATGGACGTCTCAAAACCAATGCTGAGATGACTATAAATTCTCTGATTGTCACAATTTCCTGTTTTCAAGCATAAAGCAATCAGGTTCAGGACAGTATTTATGCCACATTACCAAGCAAGGACATTGGCTCTCATCAGATCAAAGGCTCTGGGCCATTTTGGAACCTCTCACTCATATCAGGCACTGTCTGCCCCAAATGGGGGAAAATTTGATAGGAGGCTGTCATCCTGGGCCGCTATGTGTTTTCTGTGTGTTTGGTATCTGGTCAATAAGGGAGACCAAGCTCATTAAGAAGCTCTGTTTGTCCTTCCTAATCAAGTGCTATTGCTAAGCTGCCTGATGTGACAAATTGAAGGTTCATGGACAGATACACAAGTGACCAAGGAGCCTTATTGTTCACAGCCTGAACTACCCACCAGTGTCAATTGGCTCTTCCAGATGTAATGTGGGTCAGATCCAAGTGGACATTTTGAGGGGATTGGGTGTGAAGGGATTAAATGTTGTTGGTCTTGTTGAGATATTGGCTAGCTTGTGGAGATGCACTTGGTGGATGTTGTCGGAAGGTATGTGAGTGGTGTTGTCTCTAGGTGTGTCTTTGCTGGGTTTCCTTGTTGATTTGAGATATTCCAGAGTGTTGCATTTGATATCCTTTGTAGACAGGAGGATGGGAAACCTGTTCTGCAGCCATGAACTAGAATTGTGTTCTGTCTGCTTAACAAGTGACCTTTTGTAGACCTTCAGCTGAAACACAATATATCAGTTTATTTGAAAGTTATGTTGCTGACGGATGGTGTGGCTCACTCACTCACTCACTCACTCACTCACTCACTCACTCACTCAAGCTAGTCTAGTAAGCTTAGCGAACACTCACGCACTCAGGCTAGTCCAGTAAACTTAGCAAACACTCACTCACTCACTCAGGGTAGTCTAGTAAACTTAGCAAACACTCACTCACTCACTCAGGGTAGTCTAGTAAACTTAGCAAACACTCACTCACTCACTCACTCACTCACTCACTCAGGGTAGTCTAGTAAACTTAGCAAACACTCACTCAAGTCCAGTAAACATAGCGAATGTTCAGTCTAGAATCCATTGAAACTGATGCTGAAGGACAACATTGGTTAAGTAGATGAAATAGGAAGACCTTCAATCAGCGTGTGCAGTTCCAGGGAACAACGTGACCAGATGAGAACATTATGGTGGCTGCGTCAGGCCTTTTCCGTTTTTGCCTCCTTGTGGAATTGCGTGCATGAATAATGTTTTGTTTTAATTGTGTTTCATTTGATGGGCTAAGTACACCATTATGGTGAATCAGCTTTATCTCACAGCTGATGCACATCTGCAGCTAGACCGACAGTCATGCTGACAGTTTATCACTTTAAATATCATTACCTCAAAATGGAAGCAGCGTTTAGATGGAAGTATGGCACTTTCAGCATAATCCTGCAATTACCGTTAGGAGTGGGTTTAAAGCATCTGGCACTGAGAGACTTGAGACGAGAGTGAGTGAGGTGCTGAAATCTGAGTGTGAGTGAGTGAGGCAGTAAGAGTGAGATCATGTTGCACGGGTGGCCCAGTCGTCTAAGGCGCCACGATTCGCTGTGCAGAGTTGCGTCCCTTGGGCAAGGCAGAAACCTATGATTGTGGGTTCAGATCCCAGTTTGCCCTGATTATGTTTCTAGGTTTGTCAGCACCATACCCGTGCTTGTGGGTTTCACCGAAGAAGTAAACGTCTGAGACGGGCTTTCCTCCCACATTAAGCTCACACGCCGTGATATGACTGGAATACTGTTAAAAGCGGCGTTATACCCAACTCACTCACTCACTCACTGCAACAAATGATGAGGTTTCCTTAATTATTGTAATGCCACAACTGGACCAGTGACCCATAAAGATCCGGGGTAGAAATATCCTCAGCAACCCATTCTTGTCGTAAAAGGCGACTATGCTTGTCAAAAGACTCAACTAACGGGATCGGGTGGTGAGACTCACTGACTTGGTTGATGCATGTCATTGTATCCCCATTGCTTAGATTGATGCTCATGGTGTCAATCACTGCATTGTCTGGTCCAGACTCGATTATTTACAAACTGCCGTCAGAGAGCTGGAATATTGCTGAGTTCTGCATTAAACAACAAACAAACAAACAAACAAACTGGACCAGTATAAATTATTAGATCACCAAACACCTTCAAAGACCTCCATCTCACCTCATTTCATATCTTATTTGGCATTCAGGCTGCTTCGGACCAGTGGTAAAATGTTCTTTGAAAGTAATAAAACAAGATCAAGAACATGCCTTAAATCCCTCACTTATTGTCAAAATCGAAATGTATTGTATAACAAGCATTAGAGTGATGAAGGCCTGAGTTGTCCCGCGGAGCAGGATGGGGGGGGGTTGGGGGTTGTGGCAAGGAGGGGAGGTCTGTCTCCTTCAACCATGTCCCTCACCCTGAGTGGTCTTTGTAAGCTGTGTAAACACACATCTCCCATTTCCATGGATCCCATCGATTCTTCAAATGAGGTGGAGAATTGTTGCATTCTTTCAGTGGTGTGCTGTCTCACTCAGCATATTTAAAAGTAAGCTCATGGCTGAAAATTAGATTTCTTTTCTTCAGGAACAGCTATATGAAGGCTGCAAAGTTTGTTTTTTGAAATGATTAAGGGGGCTCAGAGAATTGCAAAGGGATTTGTGTGGCTGTGAAGTTGAAATTTCCCAGTTATCTCCCTTGAGTGGTGGAGCAAGTTGTCATCGAACCTGAGCATCAGCTGTGGGTCTGCCTGGCCACTGACTGCAGAGAGCGCTGAAAGACGAGCTGAAGACTGACATTTAGCCTCTGCAATTGAAATATTTTAAGAAATGTATCACTTGGTATATTGTCTTTTATTGTATGATAGAAGGGTCCATGTGGTTCTTTCATGTTCAGACTCTAAACTGAAGAATACAAGACTTGAAAAACCAATTTAAACTTGCATATGGATAATGAATGGACATGAATTTTAATTAAGGGTATGTATGACAAACTGTCCCAACTGTCAACCCCCCTGTTGAATATACAGTCTCATCAATTCATTTGCCAACATCAATGTGCTTTTCCCACTTTGCAAGCATAGCACCAGCCTTACCATCAGACCCTAGAGAATTAAATTGAAAAAGGCGTCCAACTCAAGTCTAGAATGACAGCTCAGAAATTAAGGATTGTTCTGTGCTCCATTTGGATTTTTTTATTGATTTTTTATTTTGTTGATATATATGATATATGATATAAATGTCAGTCTAGCATAACACTTCCATTCTTGCTATGCTGTTACTGAGGGAGGGAGTTCTAATTTTGGTATTGCATTTTGGGACCACTCTGGAAAATAATGTAAATGAGCCCTGGGCCAGTGTTGCTTGTAGTGATTTTATGTACCGGGGTATGTCATGATTCAGTATGTATTGGATCCATGCACAGAGAACTGGAGACAGTGTGTAGGCTACCTGTTTATTAGCTGAAGATGCTGGTTCAAGTGGTGCTGTAATTACTTTCAACGTGCAATTGTCCAAAACATTGTTCTTAACATTATCATATCTAAGCCAGTTGTTTATACACAGCCTTTTCATTTGTACTTTCTGGGTTCCTTTTTTCTTCTTTTCTTTGTTGTTTAACGCACTCAGCATAATTCCCACTTTATGATGACGTTCTGTAAATAATCATGTCTGGACCACAGAATCCAGTGATTGACATGAGCATCAATCCACGCAATTGGGGTACGATGACATGCATCAACTAAGTCAACGAGACTGACCATCCGATCCCATTAGTCGCCTCTTACGACAAGCATGGGTTGCTGAAGACCTATTTTTCCCCAGATCTTCTTGCGTCTTATCATTCTAAGCCAGTTGTGCATACACATGAAGCCATTTCATTTGAACTTTCATGGTCCAGTATGGTTAGACAGTCTTCATCGTCTGATCTACTACTGTCATCTTTTGATTTTAAAAAGAAAATGATTTTCCCCTGTATTGCAACTTAATAATCTTTGACAGCTTATTCCACACATTATCTAGCCAGAAGCGATCATTTGTTGTCGACAAGTGCAAACTTTTTCCATATCTCAGAGAATATGATCACTAGCAAGCTTTCCAAATGCTTTTTGATTCTCCCGGATTGTAGAGAGGGGATAACTGAAGCTACTTCCTATGTGAACAATCTGTCATCTTTTACAAATTGTAATAAGCAAACCGAGTGCGATATATGAAGTTTGAAGTCCTGGATTATAGCATTCATTGCACCATCTGGTATTCTTGTACGCCATCAGGTCCCATGTTGCTAATTTGAATTTACTATTTGATATTTCAGTGTGCGCAAGGCGCAAGGGCGTTGCCCAAAGTGATTCCTGTATATGAATGTAAGATTATAATGGTAATATTACCTGACTGAACACAAATGGTAATATATTTAAAAACTGGTTAGTTCCGACATATGTAAAACAAATTGAGAAACAAATCAATATTTGAGTGAGTGTGGAATCAGGCCATTTAAAAGAAAACGCATCAAAAGCTAAGTCAATTGTATCCACCCAAATTTGTAGAATTCAAGGCACACAGTATTGCATGATCAAGCTGACGTTCAATAATATATCTAAAACACAATTCACAGCCATGTTTAACCAATGGGCTCAATCATGTAGCCTTAAAATTAATATGGCCATTTTCATGTTCAGGATGGATGTCAGCTTGACTTGACACAGCTGACGGTACAGCAAATGCTGTAATGACCTCTATAAACTTTGGGTCTCGCTAGTTGCCTCATTGTTTTTATGTTTCTACCCTGAATGAAACGAGTGCCACTAACACACAAAAGATGTCCCAGTGGGTGACTGATCGATGTGTTTATTTGTATGTGTGAAGTGTGAGTCATCTGGTAAGTTTGCTGCCAGGTTCTTATGCATTGATTCTGGTAAATAACACCCTGTCAACATATTGATGTATGTATGTTTGTTTTCAGATATCAAGTTGAGTAAAGCCAGTTGAGGTTGATGGAAGGCAGAGGCCTTGTAACCCCGGTAGCTACAGCATCATTCCGGTAGATACGGATTTACCCCGGTAGATACGGATTCACCCCGGTAGATACAGCTTCATCCCGGTAGATACGGATTCATCCCGGTAGATACAACTTCACCCTGGTAGATACAGCTTCACCCCGGTAGATACGGCTTCACCTACAAGATTACCTGCTTACTGGATTAAGTGTATGCTGAGTAGTGGATTATACCTGGCCGGATTATCTCCATCACCTCACAGGTAACTATCAGGATGAATAGAAGCTCTACTGGCCCCCAGTACTCATGCTTGTCTCCCTGTGGGGATTCTGCGGCGGAATAGGTCTCTTGTACCTCATAGCATACATTTCTTAATGTAGGAGACAGAGAAAATAACAGTACTCGTGATTGTCTTGCGAATGATGGGTTGGAGGGGTGTATGGGGATTATGGTGGAAAGGAGTATGGGATACCTCATGATTGTCTCCAATTGGGGATTATGGTGGGAAGGGGTATGGGGTACCTCATGCTTGTCTCCAATTATGGTCAGGGGGGTATGGGGTACCTCATGCTTGTCTCCAATTGGGGATTATGGTGGGAAGGGGTATGGGGTACCTCATGCTTGTCTCCAATTGGGGATTATGGTGAGGGGGGTATGGGGTACCTCATGCTTGTCTCCAATTGGGGATTATGGTGGGAAGGGGTATGGGGTACCTCATGCTTGTCTCCAATTGGGGATTATGGTGGGAATGGTATAGGGTACCTCATAACTTGTTTGATAGGCATTACTTAGAAGTTGGCGGATGACAAGATAGACACAATTTTATGGATAACAACTTCTTTAATACTGTAAAAAGCGACGTTTCGGTATAGATCCTTATACCGTTGTCAAGCCAGTCTTGCTTGACAACGGTATAAGGATCTATACCGAATCGTCGCTTTTTACAGTATTAAAGAAGTTGTTATCCATAAAATTGTGTCTATCTTGTAGGGTACCTCATGCTTGTCTCCAATTGGGGATTATGGTGGAAAGGGGTATGGGGTACTTCATGCTTGTCTCCATTTGGGTATTATGGTGGGAATGGTATAGGGTACCTCATGCTTGTCTCCAATTTTGGATTCTCGATGTAAAATTAAAGTCCCTTACTAAGCCTGTAACAACATCCTTGAGACCATCGTGGGCAGCATTGGTTAAATTAACCCAGCTCCTTCAAGAAATTAGAGGCGTTTCATCATGTGGATTCACTTTTTTGCCTTCATTGTCTTAGTATGAACGTGCATGCAAACACTGTACATGGAATCACATACCAGTATGGTCATGGCGTCATCCCAGTAACGATCCCAATAATGATCCTTGCATGGGCTGTCAACACCAGGCCAGTGCTCATGGATTCCATGGAAGTGTTGATGTGTACGACTTGCATTTGGCTTTCCTGCCACAAATAGCTGACCCGGCAAGATTTGACTGAAAGACTGGTACCCCCACTACACCACACTCTCTCAATGTTATCATCTATATGACCACTGTAGGGAAAGCTAGCAGCTTAATCTATTCATGAAAAATATACCCATCATAAATAAAGAGGACTCTCCAAGATTCATTTACATATTATCTTAAAATTAAAGATTTATCACAAACATTAATTATATTTTCTGCTTATTTAAATGCTTCATCTCTCATGACAACACCCTTTAGCAATTCCAACAGATATTCCACCATATCTCAGTTGAGCGTTATGTTCTGTGTGTGTGACCAGTGTCTTCCGATCACAGGTCACGATTCTTTCCATGGTGGCTTATGTTGAGGAATACACAACCAGACATTTATGGATGAAGCTTTGTGGTTTAAAGAATTCCCAGTTGTCGTCAATGAAGTTAACTTTTTGAATATTCATCAGCGAGCGAGGAAGGCCAGACTAGCTCTCAAATCGTATTATTGTCTTTCAGTAGATTTGTGGCGATAGTTGTGCCATCTGGTGGCAAGGGGTTCCTCTGCTCGCAGTCTTGGTGGTAAGCGGGAGTGGTATTGATCTCCTAATTTGATTTACAGATTCTCTTGTTTCTATTAGGCAGTAAAAATGTTTATCATCACTGGACTTGTCCATTAATCTGTCGGGTAAAAAGCCTTTTCAGTAAAAAGGAGCAAAAGTGTCTGTTCTCTTACATAAAGAGGAATAGCCACATGTTTATGCTTAAGACAAGGGGGATTATCCAACTGGCATTGGCTTGTAGGCTGAACTATTACCTAAAGTATGTACAGTATGTAGGAATGGCAAGTTACATTCATATCTATTTTTTTTTGTGAATGTTATTATGCAATTTGCAATTGTTGGGAAATGTGAATTGGTTGATTAATATAGTTGCCGAATGTAGATAGCCACAGAGGAAGACTTCTTGTGTCATCATACCCAACAACATTGAGGCTCCAATCTCTGTAAACTCATTGTAAAGGGGACTTGAATAGGTCGCTCGGCACCCCATTGCTGCTTGTAACAGGTGGCCAAAATGGAATGGGTCTGGTCAGGCTCATTAACTGTGTTGTTGTTGCGCGTTGGGTGCCGATACACAAAACAACCTTAGCGCAACGACTGTTGTATGTCTATGTTAAGGTTTGGAAGCTACAACCACCTTAGTGCTACGATCACTTTGTACAATGGCACACTTGTTTGCCTTGCCAAGGCTGCTGTGATGTAGCAAGGATATTGCTGCCCGTAACATCAACTCACTTCTCTCTCTTTCCCCTTATGCAATGCCATCAGCCTCTCCGCCCATTTCTGGTGAACCCCGCTGTGATATTGCTGGAATATTGCTAAAAGCGCCGTAAAACCATACTCTCTCTCTCTCTCTCTCTCTCTCTCTCTCTCTCACTCTCTCTCACTCACTCACTCACTCACTCACTCACTCACTCACTCACTCACTCACTCACTCACTCACTCACTCACTCTCACTCACTCACTCACTCACTCACTCACTCAGCAGCCTTCCAGGGGAACAGTTTAACATGGCAGAACACCTTGATATTCTCGAGACAGTATTGGAATCTTCCTAATCTGGTTTTGGTGTAAGAGCCTGCAAGTTGATCACATTTGTGTCCCTTAGCTATGCAAGGATCCAATGATTGTGTGTCAACTCACAGATTCAGCCCAGTGGTGATCCCAATGGTCTGTGAACACGTTACCCATGCCTGTTGGGTTTTTCGAAAGTGGTCAACCTGTCACTCATTCCACATTATTTTGTTTTATTTTTTGTTGTTTAACGCCGCATTCAGCAATATTTCATCCTTTTGACGGTGATATGATGACATGCATCAACCAAGTCATTGACCCTGACCACCTGATCCCGTTAGTTGCCTCTAACAACAAACATATTCACCTTTTACTGCAAGCATGGGTTGCTGAGGAACTATTTTACCCCGGATCTTCATAGATCTCTTTCCACAATAAGTTGAAATGCCCTGACCAAACTGAAGCACAGCGGCAATAACCTCAAGTCACTCACTCACTCACACACACTCACTCACTCACTCACTCACTCACTCACTCACTCACTCACTCACCTTGTTTTATGATGTAAGCAGCAAGGATCTGCTGGCATTTAATCAGGATCAGGAGAAAGTCCAGTCACATTCAGCAGTGACTAGGCAGCATTCAATACATTCCCAGATTCCATTTGCTTTGTATTCTCAGGAGGCTGAAGGGTTTAAATGTCAAAAAGAGTCCTGAATGCTTTCTTGGGATTAGAGAGTGTCCCAATGTATTATGTGCTGCTGATGTGTGCGGTAAACTTGGGCATCTCAGGTTTTATGACATGGCTTCAGGAACTTCCATTTCTCACCCAGCCATGCTTTACCAGGTAATGGGGCTTATCCCTCTTCAGGAGAATTCTGTCTCAAATATCAGCTGAATAGAAATGGAGAGATTCAGTTGTCAACCAAGCAGTTAAATTTGAAATGATGAATTTGAATGGCCATTTTGTATAAATAATGAATGGCTATTGTTAGTTGATATGCTATTGTGTGACCCATGTTTAGCAAGTTGTTTCTTCCCAATAATTTTCCATGGGTTGAGAAGGCATTTGTGTGTTTGGCAGTGATAGTTTGGGGAGGAGGGGTGGTAGGTTTTCTGCTGTTGTGTTCAATCTAGGCTTCGTCCAATAATGGTTGTGGCAAGGTCCCCTTGCTTTTAGTCCGAGTGTTAAGTTTTGCCAAGGCAGTGGAATCCACAGTTTATGATGTGGCCTCGTTGCCTTGCACAGTAGTGGTTGAGTGAATGTTGTTTGATGCGTAGTGCCATGGCAACCTGGATTTTGGTCGATTGCAAGATTCGCAAAGCATGTGTACTGTCAGCTTAGCGACAAAAGATATTTTTCAAATCTTTTCACATTTTTAATGCAGGTGCTCATGTAATTTGATGCACTTCCGTAAGAAAGACCCGTTTTATTACAATATTGATATTGATTATCGATCAGATTGTCTTCACTGGGCGCCGCCATTTTGTTCATCACTGGTACCGGCAGGGGTGTAGACTAGTGGTGAAAGCCATTTTAGCCATAATGGCAAGATCAGTCTGATGTTTGATGTGTGAAGCCCATTTCTATTGTCCCCCACCCTGATATTGCTTGAATGTTGCTAAGAGTGGCGTAAAACAATACTCACTCACTCATCACTGGTACCAAGGTCCTGAGGTCTGTGTATTCAGAAAGGATGGGGAAAAACTCCATTTAGCAGCCACTGAATCCATTCCAAACATTCAATGTGGGGCAAGAAGTCAATGCATAATTGACATGCTGGGTGTTACTCCCATCATTGTTGTCATGTGAACGGACATTTCTTTCAATGTATGGTCTGGTGCTATCTAGGCTTTCTAGGTTTCCAGTTTGGGATGGCAATGAAAATAACATTGGATAATCCATAGTGTGCAATACAGGTAAAAAAATAGCAGGGTTAGACACAGCTAAAGGTCTGATAATTCCAGTCTCATGACAGTGTGGGATTATAAGCTATGATACATAAAACCACCAGGTGAAAGAGCTATGGAGAAGTTGGATGTTTGTTTGTTGTTTAACGCCGCACTCAGCAATATTCCAGCTATTTGACGGCGGTCTGTACATAATTGAGTCTGGACCAGACAATCCAGTGATTGACATGACAAACATCCCACGTAATTGGGATATGATGACATGTATCAACCAAGTCAGCGAGTCTGACCACCCGATCCTGTCAGTTGCCTCTTACTAGTTGGATTAGCTTATCTTGTCTAGGGAT